CAAATCCTCCTGATCCCTTCGTACAAAAATGTGCAGTGTATGTTGGTGACAGAGGCTGTACAGCATTTTGTCTAATGCTGCGCCTCAGAGGCGAGAGAGCATGTGACTGAAACGCCAGCGTACGGTGCCACACCTTTAGGAAAAGATTCCGATAATCTTCTGGATGCACAATCCCATTAATTTCGTCAGCCAAACTCCATTTCCCAGTCAGCCTCCCGGAGTACCTTGCGTCAAGTCCGGCTCGGCTCCGGATGGATGCAGGTGGTGACTGCGCCTGCTGCGCCCCCTTTCACAGCCGCCACGGGCACACCACACCATCGCCCCCAGGCACAGGAACAGTCTCAGCAACGTCAAAGCCTCAGACAAGGTTCAGGCGTCCAAATCCTTTTATCCCGGATGGGCTTCAATTTCCCTGAACGCCACCGCTGCGACACCAGCCGGGCGAGGGCTCTGCTTGGTGGCTCCGGCACTGCCCCGGCTTGCCTGATTAGTCCCATAGACTGTGGGCGGCCGGACCACGGTGAGCGCGGCTCTGCACGTAAATGTGCCTTATGAGGCACTCAGCATGCAAAAGTCAGTAAACTTCAGCCGGACATCTCGGACCGGCGGAACGATGCAGGAATGAAGAGCGATATAAGTAAAGTCAGTATGGCGCGTGTGGTGTTCCGTTCGGTGGAAGTACCATTGAGCCGTGATCCGCGGGAACAAACCAACACCCTGCAGTAATTGGTTGTTGCACATACAATAGCATTCCAACAAATATTTTGTCTCCAAGAGAAATCATCCTCAGGAAGAAATTTGAAACATGTAAGTAACTGCCAATGTTGGCTGTCATTTTCGTAGCAAACAGCAAAGACGAAGCAACTTAAAGCAAGCTCTGCTAGTAGGCGCAACCGTCATCTGCTCCTTCCACTTCTGTCCTTTCACCTCACACACTCACATCAGCTTCTCCCTGACATCATCTGACGTTGCCATCATCAGACAAACTAAGACTTTTCGACAAAGATCTACCCAGCAGACCTCATAGTAGCAACGCCAGCGTCAGCACCTCATTCTCGGCTTCGAGCGCCCACACATCCCTCAAGATGGGAAAGCCAGAGTCACTGTCCAAGATGTTCTCCAATCCCTTCCGCAAGTCATCCTCGGTCGCAGCCACGTCGCCCGTATCGCCTCAGCAGCAGTCGGCCAAGAGCCAGCCGTCGGCATCACAATCAGATCAGGCAGCACCACCGCCACCATCGTACACGGAAGCCACCAGGTCCGTCCAGTCATCGTCGCAAACCGCTGCTCCTGCTCCATCAGCGTCGCTGTCAACGACCCAAGCTCATCCACGTCTCACTAGACAATCTGTACAGGCCGATAATGACCCCCACGCCTTCTTGTCCTCCTTTGACACCATCTTCCTGGTCGATGACTCGGGCTCGATGCAGGGCCGCAGATGGGAAGAGACGCGCGCAGTGCTCAAAGCTATCGTGCCCGTGTGTACCGCCCATGACTCCGACGGCGTCGACATCTACTTCCTGAACCACAAGACCAAGGAAGGTCTCGACAAGGCCAAAGGCTCGGCAGGTACGGGCTACCGCGGCGTCACGGATCCCAAGCGTGTCCAGACCATCTTTGATAGCGTCAAACCGAGCGGCGCTACTCCCACGGCGACAAGATTGCGAGCGATTCTCAAGCCTTACCTCACATTGTACGAAGAGCAGCTGAAGCAGACGGGCGACGAGACCTGCCTGAAGCCGCTCAACATCATCGTCATCACTGACGGAGCACCCACAGACGAGCCGGATACTACGATTATCCAGTTTGCCAAGGTGCTCGACCGTCTGGAGGCGCCGCCATATCAGGTCGGCATCCAGTTCTTCCAGGTCGGTAACGACCCTGTCGCCGCGAAGGCGCTGAAGGAGCTTGACGATGAGCTTGCATCGGGCACTAATGTCGATTTGCGTGACATGGTCGACACGACCACCTTTGATGACAGAGCTGGGTCCGGTAGCTCTCGCGGTGGAAACACCAGCACGGCGCTCACCGCGGACACGGTGCTGAAGACTGTGCTCGGTGCCGTCGTCAGAAAGTTGGACCGCGTGCAGACTCGCCGCGCATAATTTCACTAAATACGAATCCGTCGCTTAATTTTTGGGCTGGAGAAGCAATTCGGCGGACATGACTGCGATGAAGACGTAGTCTTTTGTCATTGAGGAGTCTGGAGTTCGGTGGCTTTGATGGCATTGGTGGCGGCGACTTCTTCTGGTTGTTGGGCGTTTCCGGCGCAAAGGCTTGATCTTGCGGCCTGCATGCTGGGGAGATGTCTTTTCAATGTCTTTAAACGCTTCACTGTGAGAGGAGCAGCAAGGACCGCACGGCATGACCGCCTGTGATAGGGCTGATATTGTTTATGCTGCTTAAACATAGACATAATGTAAAATTACCGTAACTGGGCGAAATACTGCGTGCAGGATTTTCTCTAGATTGTGACTTTCACTCATATGTAGATGGAAAGATCTCTCGTGGGTTGCTCTAATGTCTAGTTCCTCTTGTGGAGAGTACGCAGGACCGCAGCCCTTGGTCCTCAAGTTTAGTGCAGCCAGAAGTAGTACGAAAGAGAACAATAGACAATCTTTTCATCTCACACACACCTGCCCAAAGCTCAGCAATTACAGGTGTCATTCTTGGACACATGCCTGTTCTATGGCCTAGACTCCATAGCTATCGGGTTATTACGACGAGAGGATGAAAGTGGCACATCGGCTTATGTCGACTGTGTGTTGTGCGCTACAAGAACGATCTCGTGATGACATCTCTGGCTATAGGTCTTACTGTACACATTACCAGTATGGTGCAAGATTGTCCAGATCATGAGGTCCCTTTGATTGTGAGATCCTATACTTACTCATCGACGACGTGACGGCCTAATTGAGGAGCATCTTCGTGATGTGGAGAGACACATTTTGCAAGTGGGACTACCGAAGCACAAACTCTCTCTCAACAGCGAGCAGGTCATCGATCCCATCGATCTCGAGGAATGCCTCACTCTTATGAACCCAAAGATCTGAAATGAGCCCATCAGCACCAACTCCTCGGACTCCTCGTCCTCAAATTCAAACTGTCTCTGGCTCACCCCGTGGCTACCAGTGTCTGCGAGGCGAGATATCTTCCGCAAGATGACCAGATACTCATAACACGCCCGCACGGCCAAGATGTCCGCCTCGGGCGGCACATCATCGCAGTTTGTCAGCCCGATGGACCCATGCTCCGTGAACAGAAGGTGCTCGCCGCGCTCGGCGAAGGCCCTGAGCCGGTCGTGGTCATTCTCCGCTCCCGTCAGTCGCGTGCTCGTCGCTCACCAGGCGTCGCGCCAGCGCTGGTCTGGAAATTCATCACGCTCCCAGATCAGGTCTGACTCCTAGAGCGTGACTACGTCGGTGGGCGCGTCCGAGCCGCCAAGTCAGCCCTCCTGGAAGATCGACGTAAAGGTGCGGTCGTGTGGGATCCAGCCCATGGCATCTTTCACGGGCCGGGCGGGGACGAGACCGCTGCTGAAGAATCGGGTTCTCACCATACGACATCATGACACTGTCAGCCATGACCAGGAGAATGTCGCAGATACCCTCCGGGCCCGGAATCATTCTAGGGTCCGGTTCCTTTTGGGCTGCCTTCTCGAGGTCAGCGACCTCGTCTAGGTCCATGAGAGTGTCGTACTCGAAGGCGTCCGATGAACAGGAGGATGAGTCCCATGATGAGGTAGAGGGAGCTCGGTAAGTGGTGTCGAGCATGTCGAACTGATCCTCATCGAGATGGGCCACCGCTGCCTCCGGCTCGAGTGTGTATGGCGTCGGCGATGCTGCGCACCACGGCCATTCTGCCGAGCAGATTCATATGATGAGGCAGATCATGGCCTGGACCCGCGGGATGCCCGTCATGCACAGTGTATCTATCTTCTCCTCCAAGCATCCCCGGACCTGGGCGATAATGTCTCTTAGAGAACGAATCTGACCAGAGGTAGATATCTTCCCAACATCCAGTGTGAAGCCAAATATTCTGAGAATCCCCTGCTCTGGTGTGCAGCTTGTGAGAGCCTTGTTTTACGCGTGCGGTACGGCGAATCCGGGCGAGCGGAGGGTCGTGTCATGGCCCTGGGCAGTTGAAATTGCTGCCCAGTCTGGCGCCCATGATGGCAGCCCAGGGCGATTGACTGCTGAATTCAGACCATTGGCCAAGCCTGCGAAGCACAGGAAATCGAGATTCTCCTCTTGGCGCAGAAAGATATCCACGATCTCGGCATATAGGTGATGTACAGGCTTGGCATAGTCGGCTTGTATTGCGCCCAGATCGTTCGGTAGAGTGCCAGTAAACCGAGAAGAGAATACACTTTGTCCAGTGGGTTTTGGACGAGGAGATTCGAGTTCCCTTTCAACTGCATGTACAGGGTTGATGTTCCCCTATCCTCCCTCAAAGCCTGGATCCAGCGCAGGGTGCTGAAGTAGTGGTAACACTTATTCGTCTGGATCTCTGCCATATCAAACTTAGTCATCGTGGCCGGGAGGTCCTTGGGGTTTCTGGTATGCCTAAGCTCGTCGAAAATGTCATGGCATTCGAGCAGCTCGCCCGCGGTTATGGCATGATGGCCACACATGTACACAGCCTCAGCGGCCAGAACGCTTTCCTGGGTGTGGGCAAAGCAGATCCGAACCGTGCATCACGGCACTCAACTCCCAAGTCTTCCTGCCGGCTCTTGAGAGACTGTATCATTCGCCACAAGATCCCATCTCGATTCTTCGGACGAGCATCGCTGCCTGAGCCTAGCCATGAGGGATGCAGGTGAGTGTGACTGACACGAGTACATGGGGCGAGCCATTCAACTGTTTTGGCAGACAACTCCAACATCGGCCACCAACCACAGCCACTTGACAATGACAACACCATGACCAAAAACAAAACAAGACAACTCACTTTCGTTTCTTCCGCCAACGCCTTTTAAGAAACTGGCAAAAAGAAACTGCTGAGAAGAGTGGGATTCGAACCCACGAGGATTGCTCCACTGCGAAGTACTGAACAGGTTTTGCTTGGAACCGGCCACGAGTGACCAGTTTCAGCCTGAACGCAGCGCCATAACCGCTCGGCCATCTTCCCTCTACACCAAGTCAGTGCTTGATGAGCCGTGAGCCGTGTTGTCGGCCGCCAAGTATATTGCAGAATCCTGCTAGAAGAGAGGCTGTGGACCTTGGTGGAGAGGACGAGGAGTCAGAAGGTGGAGTTGGTGAAAGTGGATTCTGAGGTCAATGGAGATATCTGGTGTTCTTCGTGAGATGGTGATATTTAAGTTTGGCGCATTTGGTGGGACAAGGCTGCGGCTCTTACAGGCGAGCGATGTCTGCGATGTTTGTCAGCGGCCCATCGCAGACAGACTCGTCGTGGCCATCGTCAGTTCGAGCTCATGAAAACTGTGGAAACCTGATGAAAAGTTGTTGGGCACGGCAAGTGGACTAGCATGCGAACTATGCTAGCTGGCCTCCTCGTTCGTCATGACGCTGTCTGGGGAGGCCCTGATGGTGGGAAAGCAATCTCATCAGCTGGGAGGCATTTGAACCAGAGTGTTATGTGTAAAATACAACCGTCACTGGAACCCGGCAAGCACTGTTTTGTGAGAATATCTTCTCGTTTTCTCGTGTCTATCTATTCCCTCCTTTACGGAGACCACCATTTTCTTAAACTCTTCTCACTTCTCCCCCTTTTTCATACCTCATTCTTCTGCAAGCGCCAATGGGAGGAGATCCCTTAGGCAGCCGAAACATGAGCAAAACCCGTCTCCTTCAATCCCATTTCTCTTCCAGTTTATGATCACTTGGATCTTGGTCCGCAACGGCCAAAAATGACAAAATGATATCCTGGTCAAGAAACTTTCCAGTTTGATCGTCCTCGGAAAAAGACCTGTCAGGCAGTTGTCCAGGGGTTCTCGGTCGTGTGTGAACAGCGTGTTGGGAAGATATGAGAAGCAGGGAAGGTTGGTGGTCTCAAATGGTGCTGGAAATCAACGTCTAGTCTGGTCCCCTTGCTCCCCTGTCGGCAATGTCGACGAAGGGCGTGATGTTGAGCGACCGGCGAATCGAGGAATGCCGAAAGCATCAAACAGCGTCTGGAAGTCAACTGGGGGTGGAGAGGGCCGCGACTCAAACGGTGAACAAAACAAAGAAAAAGCAAATATCAACCTGTTGTGCACAATTCCGCCCATGACAGGTCAATGTGGCAGTGAAGTGCGGTAGGCTTCCCGAGTAAAGACGAGCTTCACGGTGCTTGGCAAGAAGCCAGCCGGCTTGGGACAAGCCATATTTCTATCACGAACTGTGTATGTGAAAGTTAGCAGACAATTTCACAAATGACCACAGCCTCTTAACATGTACCTTATTTCGTGACGATGATCTCGGACTTGCGGATGCCGAAGGTCTTGAGGTAACCCATTTGGTTATCATCACGCAGTGTCAAGGTCGGAGTGACCACAAACATGACTCGTGCGCTTGAGCCCTGGAGCTGGTAGATGTTCTGGCCGACCTGTCTCTCGTTGAGGATGTTCATGGAGGCCATGCAGAGCGGTCCACCGCACTGAGGGAAGTAGTAGTGCATGGTCGCGTTGCTGGTCCAGATCTTGGTGGCCGCCTCCTAGACGGCACCGCACAGGACCTTGAGCAGGCGGAGGCAATCGGCCTCGCTGACGTTGACGCAGCGCAGGGACTTGACAAGGTGGAAGATGGCAACGGCGTGCTTGTCGATGACGACGCGGCGGAAGGCATTAATATCTTTTTGCTCGAGGATCTCGCGGGCGAGCTTGGCGTGGTCGTTGACCACGCGCTGGCGAAGGCGTCCGCGGTTATCGCTGTAGCTCAGGTTGACTGTGAAGATGAGATAGTAGAGAGTTAGCGACAAAGTGCCGGGCCCGCAACATGCGTGATAATGAGAAGCGAAGTGGAGGTGACAAAAGGGAAACTTACGAGAGCCTAGACCCATGAGCTGGTCCTGGAGCGCGTAGAGGTGGTCGTCCATGGTAGCAGAGTAACCCATGAAGATGGAAGGGCTGAACATCTTAGTGAAGATGTAGTCCACGATCATGCGCTCGATGATGAAAGGACGGTAGTGAGGCTCGCTGAGGAGAAACTTCATGTGAGACGAGCCGTGATCGGCGTTGGGGGAGACGAGACCGATCATGTAAGACCAGGTGTCAGGGTCGTAGATAACCAGATCGTTGTTGGCAGTGACGGGCGGCGCTCCGTCGTGGCAGCGGACCACGTAGCCCTTGGTGACTTCATAGATGTGCTCGATCGCAGCCTTGGCGTCGTGGGAGTCCCAGATTGCCTTTCTGCGAGCCTGAATCCACATCTGCTCCGTGACTTCTTTGGTCGAGGGAAGCGGATAGGTGACTACAGTCTGGTCGGCCATGCCGCTGGGGCTGAACGGGGGCAACACAGTGGGAGGGCATACTATGCCGAAGGCCTCGGCATAGCGAGCATCAAGAACAGAATGGTCTCTGAGCACAAAGACTAAAGTAGACGGGGCCATGACAGCCTCCTCATTACTGGCTCGGCCGTTGGAGGGCGTATCAGGACGATGGGGGCCATGTTGGGCGGCGCGGTCGCGTGAAGCTGCCCGAGCAGCCGCTTCTGCGATCCTCATCACTTTGGGTGCACGAGGAGGCTCGCCACCGCGATAGGGATAGCCAGTAGTGGCCATGCTGGTCGAGCTGGCAGAGCTGACCGAGCCGATTGGGTTGGTAGCATAGGCGGGCCGGGCTGTGTTGCCCAGGGCCGCCTTAGCTGGACTGGGTGTGCTCGCGATGGATGGCTCCCAAGATGGAGCCTTGGGGTTGAAGAGCGGATTGTTGTTGTTTGCGAGAATTTTCTGGAACTTACCTGCCCCCATTGGCATGAGATCACCGCATGTGATCTGCTGCTTGGAATCGCTGACCACCAATCTTGAGCTCTGCTCAGCAGTTGCAGCAGGTGCTGTCTTGGAACCATTGAACTTGACTACGGCCATGTTCTTTGCATCAGACACGGGGTTGGAAGGCTGCGAGTTGATAGGCTGCGAAACAGTGCCACCAGGAGTGCCATTGTTCGAGTTGGCAAGCTGCAGTTCTTGAAGCTTGCTTTCCAAATCCTATGACATTGCGCGGACGTTCAGTAAAGGGCAACTATATAAAGATAGTCAAGAGAGACAGAAACATACCTGAATCTTGGCAAAGTTAAGCTGGTCCTGCTCTTTGTAGCCATCTACCAGCTGATTGTGATGCTTTCGGAAGCGCTGAGCCTCTACAGTGATGGTCGCTGACTCTTCCTGCAGATTTGCGATCCGCTCCTTGAGACGGGAATTCTGCGCATGGAAGAAGCTGGCATTGTCGTTGGCGATCGTGAGCTCCCTGTTCATACGGGTGTGCTGGATGTTTATGGTTACTCGCTCGCTCTTCAGCTTGTCCAGCTCATCCACGCGCTGCCGTAGAGACACATCGTGCTCGCGGATGAGCTCGTTGATGGTGTCACTCATCATGGCAGCAACCTCCTGGACCGTGTTGTGGCAATTAATAGCCAGATCGCTGCTGGGGCCGGTGATCATGTGGACAGCCTGGTTGAGGAGACGAAGGCGATTATCGATGTTTGTGACCCTCTGTCCGAGGGACTTGAGCAAAACAGACCTTGTCAGTCTTTTGACATATACGGATAAATATTGGGATCATATGCATACCTGCTGAGAGAAGTTGTGGATGGGACCAGGATGCCAGGCCGGCAGGCTGACCTCCGCAGGATGAGGCGGCTGCTGGTGAACAATCTCTCTGTGCTGCCGACTCGGGATCTGGCCCATCTGCTGCTGATGAGCCTGAGGCATTTGCTGGTTCGGAATCTGCATGACCTGTTGATCATGGTGCATGGCCAGCTGCTGACGGTGAGCTTGGTAATTCGACTGGAGGTCGACCTGCTCCATCTTTTGGTTCTGAAGACGGTTGATCTGCTGATCCTGAGGCAGGACCATCGGCTCATTCTGAGGCTGGCTGACCTGTTTGCTCTGAAGCTGGCACTGAGGCTGGTTCATCTGGGGAAGGAGATTCTCTATCTGTTGATTCTGGGGGGTATTGACCAGATGACCCTGCTGATGACTTGTCTGCTGATTCTGAGACTGGTGCAACTGGGGTTGGAAATTGTTGTTCGGGAGGCGGACATGAACAGGGTGCATCTGTAGAGGGTTCATATGTGGGTGGTGATTCTTGTTTGCACCGCGGCAGCGACGTCCTTTCTTGGCGCCCGAAGAGGTATTCGGACGCGATGGAGCAACCTGAGGCGCAACTGATATGGCTGCCTTGTGATCTGGCTTGAAAGAATCGTCCTTGTACCCAAACGATCGAGAAGCCTGCGCGAATGATGCCTCGTTCTCCAAGAGATGGGGGTGATGGTTTGGCGCAAACGCCGGCTGAGCCGCTGCAACTCTCTGAGGTGTGGGTAGAGTTGCGGGAGGAGGAAATGGCTCGGGCAGATGGAAATCATGATCTTGGCGAGGGAAATCCTTCTGCGCCGTGGTAGTAGGCTGCTGAGGATTATACGCCTTGTAAGGAGTGAGGGTCTGCTGTGTGGGTGTGCCAAAGGGAGGAGCAAATGCCTGCTCGGAATGCATCATCTGAGGGGACGAGAAGACCACCTCTCGAGGCAGAAACTTGTCATCTGGTGGAAAGGTGCGCATCTGTTGAGAGCCGCCTTGCTGGTTGAGCTGAGCGACCACCAAAGAGTCGGCGCGAGGCCTAAGGGAGACACCACCGCCGCTCGAGTCACTGCTCGCTATACTCGGCGGACCCGCCATCTTGACGGGCTTGTGATGCTGAGATCACACAAGAACAGAAGATGGGTGCTTCAGACTCTTTTATGTGAGGACCGCAAGGACGGGGCTTGTGGAGGAGGAATCTGGTGGAAGGAGGATGTGAAAGGCGAGACGACGGACGGCCTTCCTCGTGGCAGTGCTTTGTGACTTCGCCTGAGGAAGGTGAGGTGAAAAAGTGATGAAAGGACTAGAGACGATGGTGTATGGCAGACTTTATCCTTCTCGGGCGAGGCAGACTGGGGCCTGCAGCAATTGTCGGGGAAACAATGGGCGATGGGAGG